AAAAAATTAAGTGAGACACATAGCATACACTTATCCAGAAGACTTATTCAAAGTTTTATTCACCATTATGCCAGAAACTGCTGGTGGTGGTGGTTTTACTCAGTGCTCAAATATGTACTTAAGAAAAATTTGGTGGCCATTCTGACAGGTGATCTGGGGGGAAAAAAGCTGAATAACATTTGGAGGAGACAATGATGTTAGCTCTTAAGGAAACATAAGGGGAATATTTTAGAGTCCTCCAGGTACAATTGCAAAAACAGTAACAGCAAAAGCTTTATGAGTCAAGCAATCCCATGAAGTAACAGCTTCATTCCATCCCAAACACTGCTAGGATATCCAAAGACTGTAATGAGTGTTTTGCATACAGAATAATATACTCTTTTTAAAACAGGTATTTAATCCAGTTCTACCTTGCTGATGATGAACAGACACATAACCATCTAGGGCTGTTCAGCTAATGAGAGTAAGGACTAACCATTCTTGAGAGAGCAAACCATTTGCTTCATGACCAAGAAACCCCTGCTAGAATCCAGTATTCTGTGCATGGGAAACAAATTGATAAATTTGACAGTCCTTACTGATGGAGGCCTATTTGGATGTTTTATCCATGGATTTATCTAAAATATCAGCAGGAGGAGGAGGAGGAGGAGGAAGATTTGCAAACAATCTCTTTGCTGAGTCCTATTCCTGATTTTCTATTGTGTATGATAGGTAAGAACAGCAGGTTCTCGAGGTCATGACAATGAAAATCACCATTGCACATTAAAGGAAGCTGAACCAATCGGGCACAGAAATGTATATATGGTGCCAACATTTAAAAATAAATCTTTAAAGATAGTTGATAAAGGTGTCATTTCAAATTAGTTTTCTTTTTAAGGAACACTGGGCAAATCAGAAGTCTCCAGAAAAAAAATGTATGTATGCCACCCTACCACGAAAAACCAGAAATCCATATCAGAAAATCTGTCCCTAGGCTGCTGCCATCCCCACAGTGAGAGAGATGTTCCCATGCGTTTAGAGCACCTCCCTCCTCTCCAATGACCGATCAAGCAAGGAGCAGGTGCACCCTGATCAAGTAGGGGAACGGTGTGCTATGTCTGTCAACCTGATGGCTGCATTGTGGAGATGACTCATAAAATGAGCAGGACCAGAATCCTCAGGGTATTGATCTGGGTGTATTGGGTTTTAAGGATGAAATGATGCTTTAAGCCTCTGTAAGGCTTAATGTACCCATGTTGACTCCTAAATTCCCTCCAAACCTGCAAAAAGCAAAAGAAAATCTATATTTTCAACTCTGTCAACTCTGCCCTGCCCAGTTGGCTTCCTCTGGCTGTATCAAGGGGCTCACGGGCCAGCTGCTAACTACAGTATACTTTCTACACTCCTGCTTGCATACCAAGTGCTTCCACATTTTCTCTAGAAAATTGACTGCATATATATTCATTCCTGCAACAGCCACCATGCTGCCAGCTGTGAGAATGCTGTCACAGGTGGGAGAAGCCTGCAATTCCCTTGATGTACTTATTTCTCTTTTGTAGAAATGGGTCCTAATGTTGCAAAACTGGTCTAAATGTGGAAAGCGGTGCCATTCCTAGACTGCCTTTGTAGCTCAGGACACCAATGTATACAAATATCCATGTGATTACAATAAACTGGCTATTTTCAGGAAGTGACTAATTTGGTTTTTCCTTTAAAAATACCAGCAATCCAAACCTGAGTTATATTTATGGTTGTTATTGATCTCTACCTCAGTTCTGAATGGTGATTCTGCTGGATATTTCAAAAAGCAGTGAAGTTAAAGCCCTTGTGTAACCCCCTGATAAATGTGATAAATAAATGACATAAGAAGGATGAAGTCAATCTCCCGCTGGAGCTAGGAAAGAAATATGATAATAACATATGGCAGTATAATTAGCATGATTAAAGAGATACAAGAGAAGAGAGTTCGTAAGTCAAAGAAGGTGTCATGAGAAACCAACATGTCTTATTCACTGTTAAGAAAAGTAAAAAGTCAATTCCTTTGTTCAGGAAGAAACATGAACAGCCAAGTGACAAACTCTCGCTGAACACTTTCAAGTCCCACTTTTTTCAGTGACATAGGCAGAGATATACACAGGTTTTTCTGGAAATCTCTTAATCTCTACCACTTGGCCACATCTCTCCTCCTTAATACAAATTAAACCATTTCATAAAGCTGTAGTACTGAAAAGGATGAGCTGAGGTCAAAGTCCTGTTTAGTACAAGGTCTCCTGCTACATCAGTCATGGCTGTCCATCCTCTGTATAAATGCAGGCAGGATTTCTCCTTCACTGAAACTATTTAGGCAATTTATTCTGTCAACAACTCATACCTTTAAGAAATTTCTTCTAGTGCGGAGTGAAATCTGCAGCCTGCTCATCTGGAGCAAGAAGAACAACTTTGCTTCAAATGTTTGAAGAAAGACAATGACTCCCCTTAATTTCTTCTCCAAGTTTATCATACCCAACTCTTTCAACTGTTCCCCATAACAATAGAAGTGTTTCAGTTTGTCAAGGTGCTTCTTAGCATGTGACACATTTTGGACACAGTAATCCAAAATGCCACTTGGTTAAATTTTACACCTAAAATGTGGGAGATCAATACCCTTTTGCAACAGTCCATTGGGCAAATTGTCATTGATTTTCATGTGAGCTCATTATTACTATAAGCTAATCCAGGAGCCTTAACAATTCTCCTCCTAGAATTGTCTCCATGCTTCCACATGGACATTTTGTAGCTTCTTGTCCAAAAAATGCATTTACCTTGGGCATGGCATGACAAGGGTTCACATGAGCTCTCCTTTCTT